GGACGCGGGGCCGCCTCCCAGGCCGGGCTGGGCAGGACGCGGGGGAGCAGGGGCGGCAAGGCCGCGGCCTGGGACACGGGCCCAGGACGCCGCCCTCTGGCCCACGGCTCTGCAGGCCAAGAGCCAGTTCAAGCGGCGCTCGACGGCCAACAATGTGGAGATCCACATCCCCGTGCCCAACGACGCCGACTCGCCCAAGTTCAAGACCACGGTGGGCAGCGTCAAGTGGGTGCCCGAGAACAGCGAGATCGTGTGGTCCATCAAGTCCTTCCCGGTGAGGCTCAGGCAGGGCTGGCGCGGGCAGAACCGCGGCCCGGGCACCCGAGCACCCGGCGCCCTTCCCGGCGGCTCTGCCTCTGCTCAGGGCCCCATCTTAGCATGTTTTACTTCGCTCGCTTGCTTGCTTTTTTTTAAATTTGGTTTTGGCTCTGGTTTTGGTAGTGGGACAGAACCCGGGGCCTTCACAGGGAGCTGCATCCCTGGTCCTTCTTTATTTTCCAAGACGGGCCTCCTGCCTGAGCCTCCTGGACGGCTGGGGTGATGGGTATGCACCTCCAGACCCAGCGTTTTCTCCTTCTCGGAGCTGGTTTGGGAGCCTGTGGCCGTCTGCAACGGGGCAGGTGCTCCCCACTGGGCCGCGCCCTGCCTGCCGCTTTGCCCTTTTGTTTTACCTCCTGGGGTCTGTGTTTGCAGTTCCCTGCGACTGTCCCTCAGAGCGTTGGGTCCTACACTTCCCCAGCTATGGGTGGGGTCAGGGAGGAGGCAGGGTGGCTTGTTAAACATTGGGTCCTCTGGGACGTGCGAAACCCTCTGAGGCTGCAGAGGCAAGCTTAAGGGGACCAGAGTGTGCCATCTGCGTCCCCACGGCCCACTCCCTCCTGGCCTCAGGGCCCTGGGTGCCGCCAAGGCCTGGCTTTCTCCGCCCGCCTGGGGCGCAGCAGCCCCCTCCCCGGGTGCAGGGCTAAAGGGACCGAAGCCTTTTTCTCGGCTCTGGTGGCGCTGGGGACTGAACCCAGGACCTTTATGCTGAGCGCTTTTCCCTTGTTGAGTCAGGGTCTCGCCGGGTTGCCCAGGCTGGGCTTCCCCCACGGTCCGGGGTGCCAGGCGTGGTCCCTCGAGCCCCCACGTGTGCCCTGGGCCTGCAGGGTGGGTGTGCAGGGCCGGGTGGCGGTGCTGACGGTGCCCTCGTGTGCCAGGGCGGCAAGGAGTACCTGATGCGGGCGCACTTCGGGCTGCCCAGCGTCGAGGCAGAGGACAAGGAGGGCAAGCCGCCCATCAGCGTCAAGTTTGAGATCCCCTACTTCACCACCTCGGGCATCCAGGTGCGTGGAGGGAGGGCTGGGCCGGGCCTGGCCGCTGGGGACCGCCCATCCCCGCCAGGGTCCCCCGTCCGGGCTGGGCCCGGCGCAGGGCTCGGGCTCGGGCTCAGGCTCGGCGTCTCCTGCCAGGTGCGCTACCTCAAGATCATCGAGAAGAGCGGCTACCAGGCGCTGCCCTGGGTGCGCTACATCACGCAGAACGGCGGTGAGTGCCGGGCGGCCGGGCGGGCCCCCTCCGGGCGGGCAGCGCTGACGGCCGCCTGTCCCGCACGCAGACTACCAGCTTCGGACCCAGTGAGGCCACCCTGCCTGGCCTGGACCCCGGCCGCCGCCCGACACTGGCCCAGGCCAGCTCCAGAGACCTTCGCGGAGACGCCCCTGCCCGGGAGGGGCGGGGCGCGCGTGCCAGGCCTCAGGTGCCAAAGCCCCG